AATCTCTTGAATTGTTTGCCAAACTCTGCCAAAACACATTATTTGAAATACAAAGACACACAGTAAATCATAAGAGACACTGTCAAAAAATACAATGAATGAGGTGCTTAAAAGCAAAACTCGTTAAATCCACTTTTTGCCGAAAATTAGATATTGAGCTTACCTATTTTCTTAGTGACCATTCTATAGTTACAAACCTGTATTTGCCATCAAAACGAATTAATTCCAATACATTTCAATCAACTAAAAGTTATCTTGAAAACAAAATTGATAAAGTGCCGCCGGCTTAGAGACCAAAACATGTAAAGTACACTGTAACGACTCCACCGAATCGCTAGCATGCTTTAAACCCACGTGAGGTGGCGTTACATTTAAAGGTAGATATCAGTCAATAGTCAGTATTCTATTTTAATATAGAGAATACAGTCGATTTCTTTTTAAATGTTATTTGACCACGTGCTGAGAAGTGTTTTGCGGTTAATTTTAATAAAATCATTGATATATATATCCCCGGAAATGGAATAATCTCCTTCAGTTTTATCTCCATATAAAGCAAGAAAGAGGAAACATGTAATCCTACTTTTACTAAGACAGCAGTAGCAAATAAATTAAGGTAAGTAGTTTTTATTTCTTTTGTCCATTTTTTGCTCTACTCTAGATCTACTCATTATTTGATATGACTTGCCTATATCGATTGTCATTGTCATGTCACACCTATTTAAAGAAATGGTGTGAATTAGCGGGCTCTATTTGCTGCTTGCTTTGGTAGTAATATATTACAAAAGATTTAGTACCATTTACTACTTATTATTTTTTACTTGACTTCCGAATTTGGTTCAACGATTTTTATTTTTAAAAAAGGTTAGTGCAATTCTTTCTTAAGATAAGTCATGTTTAAAAGATAACGATTTGTTTCTAAGCGTCATCAATACAGGATTGATAAGAAAATTTTAGAGAATATTGTTAAAAATATTAATAACCCCATCTTCTTCCAACCTTTCTTCAGAATCTCTAACTTATTATTGTGATGAGAGTTGCAGTTCAATTAGTTCAGATTATACTTCCAATTTAAACTTATCAACATCATATCAGTTACCTAACATAATCAGAATGAACCACATAGACGACCATTCTTATTTAGATTCTTTAGAAAGTTCTTTGCTTAGTGAAACTGATGAAGAAGGGTCTAAACATAGTTGTAACGAGAATTCTGGGGAACCTTTTCGAGAAGTTTTTAATTTTTTTAATAAATTATGTAACTGGTCTTTGATCCTTTAAAATGCCACAAAATGCATTAAGTGATTTATTAAAATTTTTAAAGAAGTTTTCCCTGAAAAATATTTCCACTTTGGTCTTAAAAACTCTGATCCATATGATTCAAATTTCAAAAAAATATCTTCGCAAAAGAACAATGTTATAGAAATTTGTGTAAATTTTGATGAAATCCCACTGACAAAGAGTTATGGTAGTCAGTTTTATCCTATTTTGTGTACTTTATGTATACAAGATCCAAAAATTGTAGATTTAATACGCATTTACCATGGTTATAAGAAACCAAAAGATTGAAATGAACTTTTGATTGATTTTGTAACTGAGGCTGTTGAACTTATAAATGTTGGGTTAAGTTTTAATAATATCATATACTCAGTTATTATTCAAGAAATTATTTGTGATGTTACCGCAAAAACTTTTAATACATTTACCAGAGGTCATATGGGTTATAATAGTTGTTCTAAGTGTCATGTTAAAGGTAAATATCGAGACAATAAAATTTGTTTTCCATGTAGAGAAAACTTAATTGAGAGGTCTGACAATGATTTTAGAAGCATGAGTGATCAAAGACATCATAATAATGGCACATGTTTGTTAGTAAAATTACCTTATTTTGACATGGTACAGTGTGTTGTGTTAGATTATATGCATTTAATTTGCTTAGGAATAATGCGTAAGTTATTGTATTTATAGTGTTTTGTTCAAAGTTCGGAAATAAATTGTGAGCCAAAGATTTATCGAAAATATCAAAACTTTTACTATTTCAAAAATCATATATTCCATCTGAATTTACTACAAAAAAAAGATCGCTTACTGAAGTTAAAATGTGAAAAGCAAAAGAGTTTAATCAATTTCTATTTTACACTGGACCTATTGTACTAAAATCAGTACTAAAATTTTTTAGCATTGTTCTGAAGCTATTTTCTTGTGGCATTTTAAAGTAATCACTATTTAAATGGGAATAACCCACAATTAAAGGTTAAAATATGTTTATTGACGTTTCAATTTCCACTTCGGAAACCGTTCTCAAAATACAAACATTAGTAAATTATTTTTTGTTTAATTTAATTAATAATGAAAAAAAAAACAAAATTTGTTTAATTTACTAATTTTGAGAACGATTTCCAAAGTGGAAATTGAAACTTTCCACTTTGGAAATCGTTAAAATATGTCCAATAAACATATTTTAACCTCTAATTGAGGCTTATTCCAATTTAAATATTAAAAATTTTTAGCCCTTTCTGTTACATGCATGCTCTTAACAAATCCAAAATAAACATACAAACTTGGCCCAAACTTTAATGAAAATTTTGTTGATTCTTTTATAGCCCTATATGGAGAGAAGTAAGTATGTCATAACATTCATAATTTGCTACAAATTTTAAAAGATGTCCATAATATGAGAGATTTAGACAAATTTAGTACTTTTTCATTTGAGAACATGCTTTTAAAACTCAAAAATCTAGCGAGAAAAAAAGATAATCCTTAGGCTCAGGTTGTAAAAAGAATTGTAGAAATTAATTATCACATCATATCACGACAACATGATAAAGAACCACTAGTTCGGACTGCTTTCCTCAGTTTGAATCATTTATTTTTAATGTATTTACCCTAAAAATCATTGAACCAGTTAATTGATGTGCTTTAAAAGATGGAAATTTAGTCGCTTTTCAAAATTTTGCCAGTTTGAATGGAGATAATGTTTATTATTATTGGCTATAAATATCAGAATAAAGATTTTTTGTAAACTCTGCAGGTCTTCTGATTATAACATATATTTTGTTAAAAGCTCAGTTTTTCTTCAAATATTTCCAGTAGAAAATATTGCCTATAAAGCCTTTAAATTAAGTCATAAAGATCGCTTTGTTGTTATGCCTGTGTTACATACATAGGCATAATTTAATATAGCATTTAATAAGCATAATAGACATTTTTTAATGACAAAACAAAATATTTTGTTAAAAAAATATATCATAAATTTGTATAATTATATATTGGAATTTTCCATACAGTTTTAATTTTATTATTATCTGATGGGTGTGTATGTCTAACGCAATTTTAGCTTGTAGGTATGTTATCTGGTCTTCAAAGAACATTTACCATTTATTCATTTCACTCCTTTATATGTAGGTATTCAATTTTAAAATAAGTTTCCCTTCACATCTAAATCCCCCAAATGTCAACAGGCTTCTTTTCTTACTCCCTTTGAGACATCATCGGTGAGTCTTTTGGCAATTAGTTTGATTCTAAATTAGACTAAAACTGTTAAACTTAGGGTATGTATTTGGACATAAAATAATTTTTGTTGCTTTTTTTTTTATTTTAGCCATATCCATCATGACAACCTGGATAATTGTCAGATTTTTAAATGATTGCTCAATAGAAGCTGTGCCAACAAATTGTCTGAGTGGCAATCCTTATGCTTGACCACATTATAAATCCATAAATTATGTAAGGCCCTAAAAAATGGCGATCCCCAATATCTACATGGGAAAAACACATTGTTAGTTCATTCAGAAATGCCACCTATGGTAAGAAATGTATATGAACCTACTAGTTGATCTATATAAATAAACAAATCATTTTTCTATAGATAGTATTGCTAGAAGTGCCAGATAACGGAAGAAACGTCTGTGAAAGTTTGTGGATTTCAACGGCAGCAGCAGCGATTCTGCCAGTGTCATGGGGCATAGAAACAAAAAGATCAACTATCAAAAAATGCCAGTTTGAATTAAATAAATGATCAGGTAATTCATCACAAGTTTTAAGATTTGTTTCTACATACATAATTTATATTTTATTTTAAAAGCTGGCATTTTCTGATGAAAAATTAAGTAAAATACTTATTTCCCATTTATATTCGCTCTTTGCTTTTTAGGTAATTTAGATCCTGTGCAGTAAGCATGTGCGAAAGAGTATACATAAAAGAAGTAGAATCAGGTAAGGCGAAAAAAGAAAATAATAAAATCAGAGTGAAACTTCTATAATAAATGTTAGTTCAGTGTCTTTTACACAAAATTTGCTACAATGCCACTCATGCAAATAGGAGCAAATAGAAATTTATGTTTCTATTAGGCCTTGTTTAATCATGTTTTTTATGAATTAAATAGAAGTTCTACTGTATTTTTTTATATTATAACTAAAAGTAAATATTTATTTTAAACTATTTTATATTTCAGTTGGCAGCAGTGAAAAAGACGTGAGTAAATATTGTGAAAAAAGCCAAAAAAAAAAATGGTGGTATCAAAAATTGTTAACATCTAGTTATATTAATCTCACATAAATTTTCTCTTTTAGCATATTTAAAACACATCGTAAGAAAGTTAGGAATATTAGAATTAATAGTAACTGACTTCGAGGTGAAGTCAGTAATATCTCTTCATCAACAGCACCCAAAGAAAAGCCGACTATCTTGAATGTATGGTAAAATTTCTCCCTTCCTTTAGATTTCTGAGAAGAGCTTGCCCATTTTATGGATTTTTTGAAATCACCAGACAAGAAACTTGAATCAGTAACTTTTATGTTACCTGTCACCACATACTGGTGTAGGGCGAAAGATAGAAATAGTAATAAATTTTTCTATCAGATAGTTTGATCTAAAATAATTAAGCATGGAGGATCAAGTTTGAGGGGTAGTTAGATAACTATTACATTTTGATTTATATTTTAGGTTAATGCGCTTTCAAAATTTGTGGGGAGACTATTGATGAGTTCATTAGGAGATGCCTTAAGAATGTTATATTAATGCTAGAAGGAAGTGCCAGAAGGCGGAACAAACGTCTGTGAAAGTTTGTGGATTCCAACAGCAGCAGCAGCGATTCTGCGAGTGTCATGGTGCATAGAAACAAAAAGATCAACTATCCAAAAATGCCAGAGTTTGCATTAAATAAATGATCAGGTAATTCATCACAAATTTTAAGATTTGTTTCTACATACATAATTTATATTTTATTTTAAAAGCTGGCATTTTCTGATGAAAAATTAAGTAAAATACTTATTTCCCATTTATATTCGCTCTTTGCTTTTTAGGTAATTCAGATTCTGTGCAGTAAGCATGTGCGAAAGAGTATACATAATAGAAGTAGAATCAGGTAAGGCGAAAAAAGAAAATAATAAAATCGGAGTGAAACTTCTATAATAAATGTTAGTTCAGTGTCTTTTACACAAAATTTGCTACAATGCCACTCATGCAAATAGGAGCAAATAGAAATTTATGTTTCTATTAGGCCTTGTTTAATTATGTTTTTTATGAATTAAATAGAAGTTCTACTGTATTTTTTTATATTATAACTAAAAGTAAATATTTATTTTAAATTATTTTATATTTCAGTTGGCAGCAGTGAAAAAGACGTGAGTAAATATTGTGAAAAAAGCCAAAAAAAAAAATGGTGGTATCAAAAATTGTTAACATCTAGTTATATTAATCTCACATAAATTTTCTCTTTTAGCATATTTAAAACACATCGTAAGAAAGTTAGGAATATTAGAATTAATAGTAATTGACTTCGAGGTGAAGTCAGTAATATCTCTTCATCAACAGCACCCAAAGAAAAGCCGACTATCTTGAATGTATGGTAAAATTTCTCCCTTCCTTTAGATTTCTGAGAAGAGCTTGCCCATTTTATGGATTTTTTGAAATCACCAGACAAGACACTTGAATCAGTAACTTTTATGTTACCTGTCACCACATACTGGTGCAGGGCGAAAGATAGAAATAGTAATAAATTTTTCTATTAGATAGTTTAAGCTAAAATAATTAAGAATGGAGGATCAAGTTTGAGGGGTAGTTAGATAACTGTTATATTTTGATTTATATTTTAGGTTAATGCACTTTCCAAAATTTGTGGGAAGATATTGATGAGTTCGTTAGGAGATGCCTTAAGAAGCTCATTAGTAACACAATTCAAGGAAAATATAGTTGACTGGGGTAAAGACAAAAAAAAAAGTTTTTGTAGACACAAATATAGCCAAGATTATAAAAGTTTTATAACTTGTAAATCTTGTATTGCTTAAGTAGTCACATACAGACGATAAAACCTACTGTAAACTGTGTTCTATATGTAATTTAGATGGTGAAATTTACCAACTCTACAAATGTTTAGGTCTGGCTCCAAGAACTACAATTAGCGATATGTTATTAATATTTTATTTATACAAGTTATTTTTGTTTTTTCATCATCGAAGTATAATTATTATTCATTTGGTCATTAGAAATAAATACCAATGGTTAACTTGGTATTCTTCATTAACACTAGAAATTGACTTGTTTAAATTTAATAAAATGCTGATTTATTAGCAATAAACAAAGTATAATTGACTAAATCTGAAACTTTGTCCAGTTTAAAATGTACTATAATATAGTTTTTAGATGCTGCTTGGAAAAATTTAAAAACCAGTGCCGCTACTGAAAAGGAAATTCAGAATGGAATTATGAAGTATCTGAAGAGGCCTAAGGAGAGGGCATATGCTGAATTAAAAATGTAAATCAAATTCATTTGATTTCAAGCGTATTGCATAAGCAATTATGATAAATTGTCCAATAATTTAATTGTGTGGTCGGCAGACAAAAACAGATAAGTCAATTTTCGAAAAACATTTGTCTTTATTTAAACTATCTAAAAAATTATCCACCGCTGAAATAAAATAGACAAATCAAAATGTTGTAACGTGTATTTCCATATCAAGTATTGGTCTTTTTCATACTTACCACTTTAACTTTAATTAATTAATTTTAATTTTAAAACTCAAATATTGACTTGTCTGCTTCCATTCGCTCACCACACAATTGTAAAAGAAACAATTTTGATATTAGAAAATTTCATGAAGCTAAATGATTATGTTTTTAGTAAGCTGCAGTCATATTGATGTTTTTTCCAGTTTGTATAGCAGTATCCACAATCCTTTTTTCTGTCCAGACAAGTGAAGTCAAAGATCTGATATCGGTCACAGTTATAATCACTCCTTAACTATTAAAATTTGTAACATTCTAACATGCTTACAGTATTTTAAGTTTCCGTCTTCATCCAGACGGAAAATATTAAATTATTTTTAATTGTGCATTCTTGTTATGTAGGCCTCTATGGCTTATTTTTAATAAATCTCCGACTGGGGGACGCTTTCTATCACAATTTATTTATTGATTTCATATTTAAATCATTGATTTCTAATTATCGCTCCATTATAATTCTTTCTGCTATTCCTAAAATTCTCAAAGCTTTATTGACTGATTTGTTGACAGTATATCTGAAGAATCAGCTTCATACTGACCAGCATAGTTTCCTGACTGGTCGTTCAACTTCTACTAATTTAAACTGATTATATTATAATTGCATTAAAAAACATTTTTTATGTGGATTAGATTTATACTGACTTGTCTACAAGCATCTACTGTTCTTGTAAATCGTATAGACCATATTCATATGCTGGTGTGATCAATTTCTTGAATCTAGATTCAACGTTTACAATCATTTACGAGTACAGACCTTCTTTTTGGAACAATTTTTCTGTCTCTGTTTTATCTCGCGTCCTCTCGTTGCATCAGATTAGAATCTCGCACCTGAGACAAATTATTTAGGTTCATTTATACATATTAGTTATTTTCTAATATGTCGTATTTTTTGATTACATTCGTAACTTGTATATACCTACGTTTATATTTCATTTTCTTTTTAACAAACCCTCTTTTTAGACATATTTTTCTGTTTCTGTATTATTCCGAGTTACTTTGCATCAGATTACCGCAGCAGAGGCACATTTTTTAGATTAAGTAGATTTGTTTTTGTGTTATTCATACATATTAGTTCTTTTCTAATATCTTATTCTATTGTTGCTTATATATATTCGTAACTTGTATCAATATTCTCTGTCGAATTAATCTAAATTAAAAGACGTTTGCTTTGAAATTTTGTGATTGTTTTTTTCGTACAGAGCTTTTTAGATATTTTTTGTGTCAGTTTTCTCCGTTGCATTAGGTTAGAGTCTCGCAACAGAGACACGTTTTTTTTAGTTTAGTTCATAAATACTAGTTCTTTTCTAATAACTCATTCTATTTTCGCTTATATTTGTAACTTATTTATAAGTAGTTATGTAATTTTCTCTGTCGAATTATTCGAAACTTCTTTTGATTTGAAATTTTACGATCTTTTTTCTCTTACAGACCTTCTGTTTTAGACACATTTTTTATTTGTTTCTTTTTTATCCCAAGTCTCATTGCATCAGGTTAGAGTCCCGCACCAGAGACACATTTTGTTTTAGTTTTATTCATACATACTTATTAGTTCTTTTCTAATATCTCGTTTTTTATTATATTCGTAACTTGCATATTATATAATTTTTTTCAGTCGAATTACTCTAAACTAAAAGACTTTTGATTTAAAATTTTTGTTTATGTTTTATTATGAGTTTCTTAGCATGGATTGCTAAATTTTAGTTTTCTTGTGATTATTTTCAATGTTGGGAAAAATTGCTGTTTTGTAGATAATATGACTTATGAATATGTCACTGCAAATATGCAGTATAAATATAATCTAATTTTGAATTTACTTTATTTACCGACTAAAAATTTTCAGAATGGGAATCATCAATCCTGTATTAGTACATACCAAATAACAGCTTATTTCAGCATGCAGGTACTTTGCAGGACTGGAATATGTGTCGCTCGTTCAGCGATATACGAAACCCTAGCCGGTGATGAAACTGACTTCATTGAACAGAATATTATTGGAAATTACCTTTTGAATGGTCCAGAAGTTAAAATTCGAAGACAGTTGCCGGGAGGGCAACTGTATTGGTGTAGGGAACTACAAGAATAATTCCTTAAAGGATAGAAAATAGATAATGATATGTGTATATGTACAAACAAAACAAATGTATCATTATTTTTTATTCTAATACTTGATATATCTAATGTTTTTTATGACATGTTGTGTTTAATTTTTTCTAATTGTACCTCGCGCCTTCTTTCCTCTCCAATTACCCCTCATACGTCACGACTGGGCTAATAGGCATAAAGATACATATCTAATGTCTTTATGGCATGCTATTTAATTTCATTATACATTCTAATCTATTGAGACTGCTTTGAGAGTCTAATTCTTTGTTATTAATATCTAGTTAAAATATGTCTATTTTGTCAAAAATCTAATACCTGTATGGCATAATGATATGTTTAATCTTTCTATACCATTCAATTTTATACGTCTATCATATGATATCTTGTACATCCCTGTACGTTGAGCATACGTGAAGGATCACATACCTAAGGCCTTTATAGTTTACCTTTACGTATCATTTTTTCTAGAGATGTGCGTACCTGTATATAGTGTACCTATCGCCTTCTCTCCTTTCCAACTATCCTATCCTATCCTTATGGCATGATATTATGTTTCATTTTTCTATACCATTCAATTCTATTCGTCTATCACATGATATCTTGCTCATGCCTCTACGTTAAGCCGTTTAGGCACTACATTCCTACGGCCTTTATGGTTCATTGCTATGTTTAATTTTACACGATTATACCTCTCGCTTTCTCTTCTTTCCAACTACCCCTCATCCATTACGATCGGACCAATAAGCGTGTATATACATATCTATGCCCTTATGAAATGATGTTATGTTTAATTTTTCTATAGTATCTAAATATATTTATTTAACTCTAGGACATGATACCTTGCACATCTCGGTACGGTAAATTGTTTAGGCACTACCTATCTAAGGCCTTTATGGTTCATCGCTTTGTTTAATTCTTCTACATGATTGTACCTCTTGGCTTTTCTCCTTTCCAACGACCCCTCATACATTTCGATCGAAAATTTATAATTATATTAATTTGAATAATAGTTAAACTACAAAAATATTTTATAAATTTAAATTAAAGTAAAATGGCGAATTGGGTATAGATTAAAGAAGCTCTTATATAATGCTTGTTATCTTTGATTCATTCTATTCTTGCAATAAGGTACTTAAAAATATTTCTGCATTTCCCGAAAGCTCAGTGGTATTAGTTGATTTTATTTATTGGTAACCAGAATTAGTAATTAAAACATTTAGTAAATTCAAGACAATTACAGTTAACAACACAAAAATAGTGTCATTAGATTCCAATCTTTTTAACCTATGTAAAGAGGGTAAAATTTTCGCACATAGTAAAAATATTTAACGTTATAATATTACTCTAGAGTAAAAATGTAACACAGTATAAATTTAACGTCACACCTATAGACGAATGGTCTATTATTTTGACTCCAGCGGTGGAAGCCTCCCATTTTATTTAATTTTACAAAATGATTCCACAACAACGACAACACATTCTTGATTTTACAAATTCAAGACTGTGTTGTTTACATCTAAATTAAGCACGGAATATGATGCTTTAAATTCCTAGTTACTTCTTTTCTTATACTGTGTGTTAATTTTGTATAATATGGACTATACCTACCTATCAACTTCATATTCGGTTAGTATGGCATACTCGTACTAATATATCACTGAAGTATTAATTTCTCTTAACCATACAAGCTAATATATCTAGAGATACCGTAGTACACTATCATTAAAACACACCTTCATATACCTGCGGCCTTACTCAACACTTAAAATTTTCAAATATAACCTCAAAAACCATTAGCACGTCATTCATCACTTTAGGGTTTAATTACGTACTAAAAAGAAATGAAAAAGAATAAAAGAGCCCACTGAAGATGCAGCAATCGTGACTTAACTACCGTAGCCCCATCTTGCAACAAAGAGTGACACTAAAGCGCGTGTATGGGCGTGACAGCGTCATCAGTCCGCCCCTGCATTAGTCGGGTGCCGTCTTGTAATTATCCCTGGCGCCGGTACTGTCAAATAAAGTGACGGTTTAATTCTTCCTTCTGAGCTTTAGTGACGGTTATTATGACTGACTGGTATATTATGGCATGCTATGTATTTGTCGGTGATGATATTGGACTACCTGAGTTTTTGTGTGGGTTAATGGATTCTGGGTAGCAAAATGAGTAGTGCTTTTCACTTTTAAAAATTTGAGTAGTTTAAAATAATGTTACTTAGTGCTTATATAACATATTAAAATATTTCGATATACTTGATTTCTATGAAAGTGTTCAAGTTTAAAACAATTCAGTTGATTGACTTATTTTAAAGCCAACTTTGAGAATGATAGTTGAAGACATCAACATTGTCTCCCTCAGCAAATAAATATTGCTATGGATTACATTTAAAACAAATAAATATTGTTATGGATTAGAATTGATATAAATATAGATATATATATATATATATATATATATATATATATATATATATATATATATAATTGATATTTTAGTATAGTAGTCTTTAATAATAACTCTAAAACATTAGAAAACGGCCTCGTGATTGGGACAACATTTGGAGCGGATTCATAGTCTCAATGCTTTATGCAAAGATACATAAGGTTGTAAAAATCTATAGTTATGAATGATTTCATGATGATGAATGGTGTGAAAACACTGAAAACTCTTGTTTTATTTCGATTGTTTTGTTGAAGTTTTCAGTGTTTTATTGTTAGATAAAATATTATTGTTATAGAGAAATATTACTAAAGGAACAGCAGGTGCTTAACAATGATGAAATAATGGTGTGTATATTAAAAAGTAAAAAAATATAAGCAATGAAAAACTAAGAAAAGTAAATTAATTACTATTTATAACTGGGAATAAGCCACAATTAAAGATAAAAAATACGTTTATTGACGTTTCAATTTCCAATTCGGAAATCTAAAAAAAATCTAAAAAGAAAAGTAGTCTAAAAGATTAGAAGACACTGTATAAGTAAATTGCTCTAATCATTATTATGTAACAATAAAACACTGAAAAACTTTGTTTTCAAACTTCCACAAAATTTATTTTAACTTATCACTACAGCTGTTTCGGCTGATTGCCTTTCTCAAGTGATCTATTTTTGGCATGCGTTTACATTTTATAGTCTCTAATGGAATAGGTTGAGGAGGGGAGAACTGTTTGTCTCAAGTTGGTCATTCAGAATTATATCTGTGTGTTTTAATTTGTTGATTTCCATAGATTCTAACAAGGATAGCTTAAGGCCTTTATTTTGAATGTGACCAATATGGCAAACGACAATACGACAAACTGGCAAAGATTATCGACCGAAACGTAAATAACAATTTATTGTTTTGGAGTATCAGGTATGCGGTGTGTTATTAAAAAAAACTCTTTTTTCTTTTATTACTCTATATTTTGCTGATTTTTGTCAGCTTCTTCAGGAGATAAAGATTAAGAGTTGAAATATTTAAAAACGTTGAACATAATATATTCAAAACAGTACTGTTTTGAATATATTATGTTCAATATTTTTAAATATTTTAACTCTTAATCTTTATCTCCTGAAGATAGTATAGTGTGTATATAAGTGTGTATATACTTGTATAATTTATTTTTTTAATCTAATATCATATTAGAGTAAATATTGATATGAAGTAGCTTTTAATTTAAATAACTTCAGTCCACCAGTCCAAGACGCAGTCGACCTAATGTATTTATTAGTTGTTTATGTAGTGTGTTGACCAAATTTATTTAATAATTAACTGTTCCTGTGGTATCTTTCCTTAGATTTATTCTTAGAACTTTCTTTACCTCTTTTCTTTTCTAAGGTGTCTTAATTTTCACTTTAAAACCCAAAAAAATTGAGTGGCGCCCTGTTCGTATCTTATCGTATCTTTGGTAATTTTACTCATCTATCTTTTTGTTTATTTCTCTATCTTTTCTAATATATCTTATCCTGTCATATCTTGACTTATTTCGTCCGTTGGACCTATTCCCGGTTTTAAAAGCTAGTTTCGAAAGTACGACTCGCTCTCCACCAACCATCTGGCTGCCGTCCGCAGTGTCTCCATTGGTGACCTTTCTAGCACCATCCAAAAAAAGGTTACAAGCTTTTCAAAAATCACTCAAATTGCACTACGCTCAGTACATGTAAAACAAAAATACAAATAATAAGATATGTTTCGCAAATAAACAAAACAAAAACTGAGAAAAAAAAATTGGACATGATTTCTACTGGAGCTAAACGAGAAATATGGGATAAGCAATACAAAGAAAATGCATAAATAATTTGCCAAAAAGGAGAGAAAACAAGTTTTGTCAAAACGGTCGCCATTTTGTCTTTTCTTCTAAAAACTTAAAAGCAAAATACATATTTAAAGAAACACCGCCAAACAATAACCAATATACATAATATAGACAAATAAAGAGTAACATTCACGCTCAGCAAACTTTTTAACAATTACTTAGTTGTGACTGACTCTTAAGTTTTAACTTTGTTTAGGCTTGCGCCTCTTTAAGGAATAGGGAACTCCTTTTTTTGACGGAGTTGTGGGGGGGGGGTGGTGTGAGAAAAACGTGAATTGAACGAAACGCGAGCTAAGAAGTAGAGAACTACCAAGGAAAAGAGGGAAAAGAAGGTGGTTATTTGTGTGATCAATAAAAATCGATAGAACGCACAAGAAGAAGTTGGACTTGCCTAGCATGCAGTGTGAGGTACTTCAGGGGTTACCAGCCATATAGTAGGAACGGCTCTTTATCAGCGTTTTTGGCGCGCAGTTTATCTGCGATAATAGATGGGGAAAGATTCAAGAATATCAAAATACTCCTCAGGAAGTTTGGGTCCAGCATTGTGTAGAAGTTTGGCTGGAGGGAAAGGAACTTTTTTTGCAGGATGCCTGGTGAGTATTTGCCCTCTATGCGAACAAGGTGTCTTTAGTGTTTGTTTTGCTCGGTTGTTCGTGCCAGCTATGGTTCTTAAGACATACTTC